TGTGGTGGTGGTGGTGGTGGTGGTGGTGGTGGTGGTGCGGCGCGGTGGTGGCGGGCGGATGGGCGCGCGAGAAAGAGGCCCGCGCTGGGGCGAGAACGCCATCCTGAACGACGGAGGCCAAACACCGATCCGAAAATGAGGCCCTCGCTGCAGCGGGAGCACGATTCGGAACGATTCGGGAACAGAAATGAGGCCGGCGCCTCAGCGAGAGCAGCATTTGGAAAAAAACGCAGGCGAAAACCCAACTCCCGGGAATCCTGTGTGTAAAAAAACAGTACGCGGGGGTGGGTCGAATATTTTCAGGCCGCCATCGGGGGAAGAGGGAGAGTAGTATTCATATTGAGTAATTGTAGAAGGAGGAAGAGGAGGAGAAGGAGGAGGAGGAGGAGTGGTGCGCAGCACATGGAGTTTGGAAGAGACGGAATATCTTGCTGACTACCGCGATTTCGCAGCCGTGCCTTGTCTGTGCAGCGCTCGGCGTGGCGTCCCCTTCCTGGACCAGAGGACGCACGTTGCATGTGACAAAACGAGCCCCGAGAGGGCCCCAAGAGATCCAACTAGCACTCCAGGGCAGCCCCAAGAGGACCCCGAATCTTTCAAATCCGAGGCCTTGAACAAGAAGGACGTTCACACATGCCCAAACGGCTCCATGAGAGCTCCAAGCGCCCGGAGTGGCCCCAGGAGGGCCCACAAGGGCCCAAACTGGGCCCTCGAATCATTTCAAACAAGGTTTGAAAGATCTCCAGAGCTCTCCCCCACCCTCAAGTTCGAGCCTCTGTCCACTGCGGATGCTCGTCTGTTGCTCGGCCTTCTCGCCGCAGTGGGTCAAAGGTGGCCAGCACGCCAGATTGTTGGCCAATCCTACCCCACAGGCGCGAGGGGGTGGGGCGTGGGGTTTGGGGTGTGGGGAGGGGTAAACCCTATCTCAAAGAGAACAGGGTTTGTCTTGGAACAGCTCGCACCACTACGCGACCTACGCCTCGGAGGGCCGGTGGAACCCCAGAGGCATCAAGGCAGCACAGGGGGCATTCTGTCACCCCGCTGCGTGCCAGGTGTGGGCGCGGCCGCGGTCTGCGGGGTGCTGAGAGTACCATGCGAGTCGCTGCCGCCGTATCCCTTGCGCTGCTCCTCCTCCCCCTCCCCCCCCCGCCTGCTTCTCCTCTTCCTCCTCTTTCTCGCACGACTCGCCACGGCGCCACCGCGGCTTCCATGAGCTTCCAGCGTTCGCACCGCGCGGTGGCTACGGTAAGCTCGGCTTCCTCCCGTCTCCGCCCGTCGCGCCTGCAGCCCCACCGCGGACGGTGCATCCCGTCGTGTTCGTTGTGTCCTCCTCATTCTCGTCATCGTCGGCGACCTAGTTGTCGCCGTCCTCCCCCTCCATCCTTTAGCCTCATGGTATACCTCTTGTCTGTCGCGCCCGTCAACGTGTCGGTGCGACGCCGGGCGATTTCGCCCGATGCTCCTTCACCGTGTGCAACTTTGATGTGTGACATTCGCAGCAGTTTCGCCGATGGATCGGGGCCGTGTTCAAGATGAACTTCTCGCCGGAGCGCCGCGCAGTTTCGCACTAATGTTTGCAACAGCTCCAAGGATGGAGAACAGCCCTTCCTCCTCCTCCTCCTCCTCCTCCTCGTCCTCCTCCTCCTCCTCCTCTTCCTCCTCCTCTTTCGTCTTCAGAGTTTGCAGCAGCTTCAAGGACGGAGGGCGGCTCCTGTTCAGCATGCGGCTCGTCTCTCCGCGCGCGCGCGCTTTGCATTCTGACATGCCGCAGCGGTTGGCTGAGTTTGGGGAGGTGGCCTGCTGTACTGCCGTTCGTGCGTCTTGGATTTGCGCCGGCCCTCCTGCCCCTCCTCCTCCCATGCGCCCTCCGGCCTCCCCCCCGCGAGATGCTGCCCGGTGGCTCTGGCTTCGTGAGCTGCCCCGCGCTCAAGGAGGAGTACGGAAGGGACACCTATGCGGTGGGCAGGGAGCCACCCCGCCGTGCCCGCCCCCCCCCCGACCTGGCGGTGACAGGTCAGCAGCGCGGAGGTGTGCCCATACAGGTCGAGTTCTGATGCAAGCTCTGTGTTTTCCTCCTTCCTTTTCCTCTCTCTCTCTCTCGTTTTCTGCCTGAGCTTCCGAGATCTCTCCGTCTCTACCCCTAGTCTAGATCCCCTCACAGAGCCGCTTGTGTATCAAACTGGGTGCGGATTTGGTAGGTCTTTGCCTGTGCTTTCACTGCTGAAGTTTCTTCCACTTTGAGGGTTCATGTGCTGACAGTAGGGAGAGGCGACAAGCACGCCCAAACTATCTCATAGGAGCCTCCCGCATGCTGGCAACGGCCCGGCCCGCCCCCGCGGGCGGGACGTCTCCGCGCGTCGTTCGTTCGTCCCCCCCGACCTGGCGTGCCTCAGACAGGGCATCGCCCTCGGCGCGCCTCGCCTTCGGCACGCCTCGCCCTCGGCGGGAGGCGGCGACAGGCCGGCGGAGGTGAAGCGGCGGCGGGCCCGCCGCCAGGAGCTGGCGCAAGCTCGGCAGGAAGGCGGCAAAAAGTGAGTGCGAGACCGAGGGCCACCTGGATGGGGTCCGAGAGGGATGGGGTCAGAGGGTCGCACCGCATCGCCACTGCATCGCCGATGCATCGACGACGCACGACGACGCATCGGCGATGCATCGGCGACGCCGGCGGTGTATCGGCGACGCCGGCGCGGAGAAAATCGGACTCCACATCGAACCGCATCGCCAATGCATCGGCGATGCGGTGCGATCTTCCAACCCCATTTAATTACTTCGACCCCATCCGAGAGGCCTAGGGAGACGTTGGCAAGTTACTGGACGGAAGGCCATCGGAGTGGGCATGGTCGCCGCCACCAGCTGCATCGCCTGCGTGGACACGGGCGGCAGCGGCGGCAACATGCGACGCTTCCGCTCCTGGGGGTCCGAGCAGCAGGCTCGCGTGCCCTTCCCGTGCTGGGCGCGGGAAGTGATGATTTGGTCAGAAAACCATTCCGACCTCATCGAGTTTCGCCAGGCGGCATATCTTTTGTTTCGCTGAATCGCCATGGTTCGCGAGCGCGCGGATGAGCGGCCGCCCGTTGTCCTCGTCCAAGGGGGTCGCATCAACGGCAACCCCGTGCCGCCGAAGACTAACCTCACGCGCAGCCTGGCCGAACGGCGGCGCCAGCTCGGCGAGGAGGAGCGCGCGTAGGCGGCATCGGCGTTGATGAATTTCAACCGATTGGCGCAAGAGCGCATCGACCCCCCCCTCACTAGGTTCGACATCCTCCGCGACAGGGCGCAACAGACCGGCCAACTCATGATCGGCTACGAGGGTTTCAGCTACCTGTGCGTGGTGGGCGTGTCGACCATCCAAGTCACCTCGATATTGTAACATTGCAATCTGATTTACGCGATGGGCGCGCAGCAGCTGACCCACGTGGCGGCACAGCTACGACGGCTTGGGCACGTGATCGAGAGCTCGCCGGGCAATCTCGCTTCGGCCGCGCACTCGACCCAACGCCGCGCGTTCCTCGCGGGCATGCCCGCGCAAGACTAGTCAGAGTGCCTAAGAATGGCATTGTGACCAGATTGAGTTGAGATGGCACGGGCCCCGCTGCCCTGGGAACAGTATCAGGCCCGCCTGCAGCATCAGTCGCCGCCGACGCTGGCGCGGCAGCAGCGGCGCAGGCAGCGCGTCCAGCAACGGGCGTCGACTCAGGCACCCCGACCCCAGCACCATCGGCTCGCTCTGCGAATCGCTGCCGACAAACCCCGAGCCGCGCGATGTTTCGGTGTAGAAGCGCGGTGCGCGCCTGTTTTGGACCCATGAACGCGCCCAGCCCTGATGGCGCTGCTTCGACAATGACAAGCCCGCGCGCCGCGTCCGGGGGCCCATCGAGCGCCGTGGCAAGGGCCACGGCAGAGGCCACCTCGCCTTCCTGGCCGGCCTGTCCGACAACGTCCTCCGCGCCGGCTTCGGGGAAGGCAGGGGCACGGAAAAAGGGCAATCACGGGGCCCGCGCCTTGGGGGTTGGCCGCCTTAGGGCAACCTACTTGGCCATGGCGGGGCGCGACTCAAGTGCCACGAGTGCGTTTCCGATGAGCACCGCGCGGGCGATTGCCTCCAGCCCCGCCGACATGGGCGCGCCCTCCTCTTCGGCGCCCCAGCCGCAGCAGCAACGCGGGCACCGCCGATGTCCTGACCGCGCGCGCATCTGGGGCATCGGGGAGCGCCTTGCTGACCAGGGGCACCTCGGAGATCCCCCATCCTGTGGTCCTGGCCCCGGTGCCCGACGCTGGCGACCCCGCGCAGAGCGCCGACCCTTGGAACGGCGGGCGCCCGACTCCAACGACGGCGGCCGCGCGGCCAGCCGCGGCGACGGCGCCGAGTGCGTCGCCCGACGGCTCGCGGCAAGCAGTAGGCCGCAGCCATTGGTCGAGCTGGGCGCGAACCTCATCCCCGTCGTCTTCTCCTGGCCCGCGCGAGGCCGAGGTGCGACGACAAAGTCAAGACATAGCTGAACTCATGAGGCGCGCACGGCAGGGCTCCGCTCAAGCTGCGGGGCCGGCGGCGGCGCTGCCGGCCCGCGCGGCAGCCGCGGGAAGAGCGGCGCCAGCCGCGCGTGCAGCGCGCGCGGCTCCAGCAAAATCAGCAGCAACACCGCCGCCGACGCCGCTGCGATGGGCCGCAGTGGCCGGCGCTTTCCAACTAGGGGCAAACAAGAGGACGCGATTGGGTGAGCGACGTCCGCGCGCGACTCCGCTTGCCGACGCGCAGCTGCCGTGATGGGCTTGCGTGCCAGAGGCCATCAGCCCCCCCCGCGTCTGCCGAAGCCAATGTTGTCGTCGCCGCAGGCAAGGCCCGTGCACGCCGACGCATTCGCACCGAGCGAAAGCCTCGCCAGGGACAGCGGCGACGCCGGCGCTACAAGAACGCCCTCGACAACATCATTCGCTAGATGCGCAACTGGGGCGCGGCCCAATTTCGGGCCGACGCCGAGGCGGATGTCCACCTGGGGCGCGTCGTCTGCCGCGTCGCCCAGCAGAGGCCCGACGCCGCCCTCAATTGGGGAACAAAAAGTGTCATCAACATAACAACTCGGAGGTCCGCGCAATTTTCTCGGGTCGGCGCTGGGCCCCCCGGGCGGCGCCTCCGGCGCCGATCCGAGAAATCCGCGCGGACCTCAGAGTTTTTGTGCTTATGTGATTTTCGTTCCCCTACTCAGTTCAGAGGGGGGCGCGAAATATGTCGCGGAGATCCAGGCGGCGGAGCCGCCCGTCTCCGCGACCCGCCAGCCCCGCGACCGGCAACGCCCAGCTGCGGGGTGCGACCCAGCACCCCGCGGCAACCGCCTAGACGACGACATCGGGAGGTTCCAGCAAGCCCAGGACATCGACCCAGCGACCGTCGACGGAACCTTGGCGGGGCCCGCGCGCGCCCCCGCCGCCGACGGCAGCGACAGCGCCGCCAGGGCTGCGCCGACGGTCGGGGGCCGCCACAAAGCGCCGCCGATAATCGCCGCGCCGATCAAGGCGCCGCCCCCCAGAACGCCGCCGCGCCGCAGCCGGCAGCGGCCCGGCAAGACGCGCGCGGGGCCATCGACGACGAGGGTCTTTGCCAGGGCGGCAGTCGACCCAAGTCAGACGCCGCGCAATTTGAGGCGGTGCCCTCTATGCCGCCGCCGAGGCCGACGCCGCCCACCCGCGACAGGATTGCCGCGGCCATCTGCAGCGCCGCATCCCCAGCACAGGCGCACTACGAACCAGAGCCTGTGTCAAGACCGCCGCCCAGACATGAGCCACGCCACGCACGGGCGCCGTCTATGAGGAGGCTCATGCTCTGACTGAGTCGCCGCGCGACGGGGCGAGATCGCCCCCCCCACCCCCGCCCTCCCCCTCAGGGGTAGGCTTGCAGCAGGGCGCCATCCGCCATTGCGGGCTCGACCGACAACGCTAGCAGCGCCGACTACGAGGGGGCAGCGCCGCTGTCAGGGTGCGCGCCCACCTTGGGCCCTCGGGGGCATCGGCGACCCCGACTCAGCCGACTGGGCCGATGATAGCCGCCGCGCCCTGAGAGCTGATCGCGACAAGTTGGCGACCTACATGGCCGCTCCCGCCGCCCGCGCCATGGGCGACAAAGTATCTGCGCCCCCAGCAGATCGCATTCATTCATTGCGTAAATCTTCAGCTCGCCGCGATGGTCTCCCACCCGATTGCCGACGATTGCAGGGGCATGCATGCGCCGCAGCTAGCCGCCAGGGAGAGATCCGACGCCCTCATGCGCATCGAGCAAGGACTGCGACGCGCCCACCGCCAACGCCAGCACTCGTCGCGATCGATATCTCTCAGTGGGGGCGCGCCAACCGCGCCGTCGTACAGATCGACGACGTGGTCGACGCCCAGGTGGCTGAGCCACCGACGGGAACTATGTGGCAACGGCCATTCCACGGCTGGGGCGACAAAGGCGACCCCCCCCGGCGAACGAGATGCCACGCCGCGCGCGAGTGGCATGCGCCAGCCAAACCAACCACGCGCGCCCGGATAGAGCGCAAGCTAGACCGCGCCTCGACATCGGGCCCAATGCCGCCAGGATTCAGCGCGAAAGGGCGCGGCAGACTGCCCGCCGCCGACCTTTCAGCAGAGGCCTGCTGCTCTCCGCCGACGCGCGGGAGGCCGGGCTGCGAATCCGACGCCGGGTCGAGCACAAGTCCACGTGGGCGGCCGCAGTGACGTCGGCGATCCAGCTGCAGCTGGCCCCGACACAGGTCATGATCACAAACGGAGACACTGAGATGCACGACGAAGAAATCTACGACCCAAGGTGCCCGTCGCCCCGATCCGACATGAATGCGCTATTTGATGACACTGAAGACGAGCGCCACCTGGACTACAATTGCGTGGACTACATCACGGGGGGCATCGGCGGCAGCGAGCGCGCCCGCGCCAGACATAGTCCGACGCCATCCCAGCCGACGCG